TAAATAGGAGCATGTGAAGAACACACTTCAAGTGTTTTTTATGCGCTCCAATAAAAGTCTATGGGACCGAAATTGCCCGATTCCGCCCCTAAAGTGACTCTTGGACTTTTTCTATCTACAAGCGATGTGACACTCAGCTGTGAACGAGAACCATTCAAAATGATGGGATTCTTCATGTTCAGTGTTTAAAGCAATTCAACAAACGGGCTCCAAACTCCCAGGTGTGACTGAGGTCTAAGTGCGTTGACATCCATTGATTTCTTTCCCCTCTCTATTTGCACTCTCATCGCTTCTTTTGCCCTATTTTTTTGTGGGTTGATTTTCCTAGTTGCATTTATGTGCATTTTAGGCCTCATGCACACACAACCCAAGAGCAAAATTGTATATTGCGTATATGTATGCATATGTATGTACGCGCACTGTATGCAATCCCAGAATGCATCATTCTTAATAGAAATTTGTACTATATGTGCGTATATGCGTGTAAAATACGTAGAAATACGCGCATCTCGGGCCCATTTTTATTTTTGCGCATCTTTACGCAGCCCAAATATACGACTCCATACGCAGCTGTGTACATAGAGCCATTTGCATATGGGAAAATACGCTGCACACATCTATACGCAGCGTATTGGACGGCAGTGTGAATTAGGCCTTACATGCATTGTGGTAAAATTAAGAAATGCAGCATGTTTCGCCACCTGCTTTCTATGTGTCCTTGCACAGAGCTGCGTCGATCAGGTACAGAAATACGCAGGTCTCCGCACGTGGTGCAAACAGGACCTTTAAACATGACTCTAGTAATGGAATCCATTCAAGATTTCAAATAGTTACTTTTGAACTTTATTATGAACGGCTGAAGCTTTCCTGAATGTTTTGTTTCATTGGAGGCAGCTGAATCAATGGGAGCTGATCACATGGGAGGCAAGATTGCAGTGTTGTAGAACAATCACATACAAAGTAGAAATCCAGTTTCCAAAAAAGAGCTAACCTGTTCATTATTGAATGAGACCTGATGAACACGAAAGACGAAACGCTGCTTTTAGAGGCATTTTTAAAAATTTTTTATTGCCCCCGAGTGCAGCTCCATTTTAGTCTATATGTCCATGCACATTGGGGCATTATTTCAGAGAAGTGTTCAGGGGCATTGTAAAAAATGCCCCAAACCTGCATTTGAATATAAGCTTATTGGAACAATTTAGGTTCATAAATGTGTGTGTGTTTTATGAATGTAAGTTCATTATATTGGCTAGAACAGGGCTCAAAATTTCAAGTCCTGAGCTACTAGCCAGGCCTTAAGAGTTACTCGCCACCAGTCGCCCCACCTGACCCCTACCGTGCCCCGCCCTTAACTCCGCCAGGTCAGTGGTGTGACACAGAGAACAGAGATCAGTATGTGTAAAACGCGAGTCATTATGCACCAGAATGTGCTTTTTTTTCTGCCAGACAGTTCCAGCATAGATGGAAGTATTTTAATTAGGGCTGGTAGTGATTAAAATTTTCGTGTTCGATTAATCAAATTTTTTTACAATCGATTAATTTTGATTTATTTATAACGCACATACAGATCCAACTACATTGGCCTATACACATACAGCACAGCAATGAAGTAATAAAATGAACTAGGATCACACTAATCCAGCACGTTACCCACAGCCCTAATTTTAATACACCTGTGTGCATGAGTCCACACCAAGACTGGCGACTTTTAATTGTAATCTTCATCCCAGTATCGGAAGGCTCTCTGCTTGGACCGTCTATGGCCCTTTAGCCCCTGTTACCCCGCGCAGGATGAGTGCTCATTCATCTATTCAGTGTCGGTGAGAAGGGCTTTTATCCAACAGTACCACCCCTCTACTTCTTGCTTTAACACTGCATGTACACACCTGCGCACCGCATGTAATGGTATGTGATATGATTACATACAGTTAGAAAACGGTCGTTCTCCCTGGACGCATTGATCGTGCATCCAGGGATAGTGATTGATTCCTAACCAGATGTAATCATATCGCATACCATTACATGCGGTGTAACTTAAACGGGTGACAACCGCCGTTTGTAAACACCAGACTAGGGATTCCTGCTGCAGGAAAACGCAAATTCCTGACACAGAAATCCCTAATCGCACTTAAACCTATAGGTATGAATGGAGCCTAGCACACACGCACACACGCACACACACACACACACCCACACACTAACATTTTGTATTTCCCATCCCTTTACTTTTCCTCTTGTGTTTCTTGGGGCCCACACAGATTTTCCTAGTTGTTATTGGTTATCTGAGAGTCTATGGAGTGGACCTTCTGTGTGTACCACACAGGGGAAAATACTTGGGACACTATCGCATTGTGGTGACACTCACCAATAGATGTTATATGCATTTGATGCAATGCTATTCATTCTGAATGACACCCCAGTGCACCTAACCAACAGACATGAGTAGCAGGCCAATGTAATGCATTAACTTGCATTGCAATACTGAAAAGGCTGCATGCATAATTTTGGTCTCTTGTCCTGCATTGGGCAGCCCATTCAAATGAATGGGCTGCCCAATGCAGAACATGTTAACGCAGGAGCAGTTGCCCATAGTAACCAAACGGCTTCTATCTTTCATTTTAAAAACTTAACTGAACAGAGAAACTGGCTACTATGGGCAACTACTCCAGATTCTGTCTTCTCCAGTTTTGATAAATGTGCCCCAATGTGCATTAATGGGCTTGCACTTTAATGCACCTCAGAAGACCAGGCTGGTGTAAATGGGCTCTTATAATTCAACTCCAACCTTTTAGCGGGGAAGGGTTAAAAGTACCACTCTAAGGTTTTTATTACAGTCTGCTCCCTCACTGGAGACATTTCCGCCTGCTTCCTGTACCAGCTACGTTGTGACAGAGGGACAGGAAATGATGGACAATCTCTCCAATGGGCACAGCAAGAAAAATATGTTTCTTTGTAGCCCTGATGAAGAGGGATTCCTGACCCCCCTGTAACAGGTTTGCTGTGCATATCTTCATGTTGCCATTTGTGAAGCCAATAAAGTTTTTTTGGATTCTTGAGATGATAACCTGGCACTTGTTTTATTTTTTAAATCACACGGATTTCTCATTCTGGGCATCCCCACCATCTGGGAGGGCCCTCCGTTTCCTGAGGAGCTGCCAGAACCAAGCCAACTGGCCCAAATATTGCTCCTATTGACTAGAGAAAGAAAGGTCATGGTGCAGTGTCTCATCCCCACTCACCCTAGGCATTTATAGCTGTGTGCCCTCCTGTCCGGGTGACCCCCCATTCCCCTTTTTGTCCTGGTGTCACTGAGATGGACGGAGAGGGGAAATCTCCCAAGCGGAGTCACAGATGACTTTCAGTCAGTCTCACCAGAGATTGTAAATACTGTGCTCACGAAACTCTGCAAACCGATTTTTTTTT